TTATACTTCAACATTAAAAATTAAAATAAGTCCACAGTCATAAACTGTGTCCGTAATTATTAACCATGATAACTAAATAACAGTATTTTTTAAAGACATTTACTTCAAATCTTCTTTAAAATCCATGTAAAAACCTAAAACTTTTTACAGTTCAATGCTATAAGAATATGAGAAGATGTACTCTTTGACCCTGTGGCTTGGCCAGTTCCCCCGTGGCTGGTACCTATAGCATCTTCAGGAGGCAGATCCACTGTATCTGTGTAGAGGTACTGGAGGAAGGCACGGTACACTGGGTAAGAAAACTGGTCTATTTCGATCACCTCCTTCATGTCCTCATTCCAGTAAGACTGGAACATGGATCGAAAGTGCTCACACCTAAAACAGAACAGCAAAAGTTACCTAATTAGGTTGATGAAATCGGATAAACAAACATTACAGATGTGTGTAACTTCTATATTCAAGGGCACACACATCAGGATCGTGAGTCTTTAGCTAAAGATGTTCCACGTACGAGGACTCAAACATATTCCACGTGTAAGGGCTTTTATATTCACCTTTTACAGACACTCACTGTCACTTCTGATGGTCCCGCCTATTATATAGTAAGAATTATGCGTAGACCCAAGGAGTACAGAGCCCTTCAACAGTACCACTATTTCCAATTGACAGTCTCAATTAAGATCACGGTTTACTTTATTTTTTTATTTAAATTGAAGTCCATTTTTTTTAAAAGACGTTGTACAGAAGTGCACTTTAAACAATGAAATTAAAGGAAATTCAAAAAAGAGTGTTCAAACTTCTGACTATATATTAACATCACTTAAATGATTCATTTGGTTTTTATTTCATGTAATCAGCATATTCTTCAAACTGTTTCAAATGTCAACTGGATTATGTTTAAGAGGATTTTGTTCCATTACCTGACAAGACAACTTCCCCTCCTTTCTGACTCATCTTCAAAACAGCCACCAACCCCATTCTGTTCCTTCACTTTGACCTGCTCCCCTCCGTCTCCTCCCAAGCCTGTTACCAATTTACTTAGAAAACACATCCATGAGGACAGTCACATATTTCAAGAAAAACTAAGTGGGTCTTTTTGTATTGCATTTACATGGACAAGTCCATCTATATGAGGAACTGATTTCTGAATATTTTCAAGTATAGCATACATTTTGGGCTTTAGAAAAAAATCACCTTTTCAAATCCTTTTAAAATGAGATACAGTATAAACACAAAGGTATTTTCAATATCCATCCAGAATACTAAAAGAATGGCTTCACTTACAAAGAAAATTACTTCATGTGGGAAGTAAATAGTTGTCTAAGCAAGGAAAAATAGATAAAATCAGTCAGAAAATTTTACATGAAAGTAACAGACTGGTTGACCACAGGTTCACAGATAGAAACACTTCCCATTTATCTTTTCAGTTAATGCTCTGATGCAGATACTTATTCCCTTAAATAATGACATAGCTTTTTGGTTCCCTTAAAACATGTTGTTCTGTAAATTGATTTTTAACTAAATTTTCAAAGACTAGTAAGTAGCCAGTTTAACTCTCAATGGTTTCATTTTTTTGTGCCTCTTTCTCTGTAATGGCAGCCTCAGTGAGCAATGGTCCAAGCAGTTATTAATAAATACAAAGTTCCCTCCCATTTATACAAAGAACTCCTGCCATTTACTATATTTAAAAAACATTCCTTTCACTGGGAATTAGGTATCTTTCAGGGCCAGAAGTCCAGTATTCCTAAGAGTTTTCTCCTTGGGGAAAACGAATCTTTAAGACTAAAAGAGGACAGATACGCTTTTCATTGACAACCTTCTGCATTTTTTTAAAACCATGTAAACACAATTTTGGGTGGAAATAAGTATTCACAAGATCCTTCATTTACAAAATAATACAGAAAATCATTATGTTGTGCCATTTCTCTCTTCTGTCAAGGTTATTATCAGTCACCATTTTGTGGAATAACAAAGAAACAGACATTTCAGAAAAAAGTAATGTTACTGATGTCTCAAAGCTCGTGCAAAAATACCTGATTTTCAAAACAGCTTTATGGACATGGATATATTTCCCATCGATTCGAAACTTCAGGTCAGCCGTTTCTGGACTGTCAAATTCTTTCTTCAGTGACTCTGCAACTGTTAAGAAGTCTTCATGCTCTGAAAGAAGCAAGCACATTAACACAGGGAGCTCAGGAAACATGCTCAAGCCTTGGAAGACTTCTGAAAGATCATGATTAGCATGATGGATAATTCCACCAGATTTTTTCAGGAGAGTCAGGCCTTACCTGACAAATCAATTTCACAGTATTACATTAAAATCAATTTCACAGAAATTAAATGTCATAGGCTAACAGGAAAACAAAAAATCCCAGGGACCTTCATAGATGCTGAATGAAGGTACTCTGCTGTGGACTCAAAAGACAGTTTTCGATGTCCTCCAAGCTGAGAACGTGACTCAGCACCTGCTGTTAGCCAAGTATCCTCAGTGTGTAAACTACAAAAAAATACATGTTTGGAAAGGTCAAATACCAGTCTTACACACTAAGTTAGACATTAAAAATGTGAATTTTTTAAAGAAGAAAAAGTTATAGGTCGTTAGGATTATATAACTGCTCTCAAAAGTTGAGTGGTTCTGTTTTAAGGGTAAGATTTATCCGTTTTCCTTGACTGAAACACTAAGAACACCTTTCTTTGTCTTGGGGTACTTTCAAGGGACTGGTGAATGCAACACAAGGAGTCCTAAGAACAATCTCACCACGGAAGTGCTTACACTCTGAGAGTCATGTTCTTTTGCAGAGAAACCCCTTTTCCTCAGTATCTGGATTCTCAACATCCCTCTTAACCCTAAAAATTAATGCAGTACAAATGATGCTCCTTACACAGAATCTAAAAGCAGAGCAAATCTACTTAGTAGGCGTGTATACTCAAAAGGGACAGTTTTACAAAAATGTGATCATGCTGCCTGACAGGAAGGTGTAAGTACACGTAAGTCTACTTATATGTAAGTAGAACTGTGTAATCATGAAGAACAGTAAAGGCATTTGTACAAGCGCTTTCTTGTGCTTCATATGCGTAAACAAAGGAGAACAAGGAGAACGCGGCTAAGGGGGAAATTAAAAAATTCCCGAGACCCTCCCTGGCACTGAATGAAGGTACTCAGGTACCACAGACGCAGGAGACAGATCCGATGCCGCCAGGATGAGAAGGTGACTCTCAGCAGCTGCTGTCACCAGGGCAACTCTTAGAGGGGGGACTGCTGCTAAAACCTGGGCTGAAACGAGCTTTCCATGAGCTTGATTCACAGAACGTCCCAAAGAAGTATCATCTGCCTAAGCCCTGTTACCTTAACCTACAGCTTCCTCCTACCCCCAGAATGTCAGCTCTCTAGGCCGTAGAGAGAGGTGGGCAGGCTCTCAAAAACCAGGCTTCCCTGACCCTGTAACCTGGATCTCTGGTGAATGAAAGGAGATAACTAAGATGGACAAGAGTCCAAGAGTCTGCAATGCTCCCCACCCTCATCCCCATACCAGCTCCTTAGGACCTCCACTCCTGCATCTAGTCCTAAGGGTTGGACCTTTCTGTCAAGAGATATAGTACCTCCTTTCAGAGAAGAAATATTCTTCAGAGGTGTGAATTCACCCCCTGACTTTCCTCCCAACACTCAGCTGAGATCATTAACTGAGAGGAAACTTACAGCGAGTGGAAGGGAAAGAAATCACCTAGGAGATAAGAGCCAATGACCATAGTTTTTCCAGACTTAACAGTAAGAAAATGTTAGACACATTATAAATCAACTAGGCTTCAATAATTAATTAATTAATTAATTAATGCCAAAAAAAAAAAAAGAAGAAAACGTTAGGACGCTTGTTCTGAAAAGGATGTCTTTTCGGAATTAGGAGTTTAAGATGCAAGAACCTGAGGGGAGCCTTTTATAAACAGGTCCAGGTTAAGCAGTATATGGGAATCTGAAGATGTGGGCCAGGTGTATACGTATGGTCAAACGGTTCCATTCTATGAACTAAATTTTTTCTAGTCATGATATTCACTGCAAAAAATATACTGTATTAGAGAACCCAGAAATGTTCCGTTCGTTTCACTTTTAAGTTGAGCGGCAGCTTATATGTTTCCTAAATGTACTCTTGTCCCCATGATCAGAAAAACTGGCCACCGGATGATGGGGCAGCTCCAGCTGCCTGACACACCTGAGCATGACACAGTCACAGACTATCCTTCAATACCAGTTGCTGAGCAACCCAGACCCTGTGTTGCCAGGAGCTACACTAATTTTCAAGTACAGAGTATCATGACCCACTTATTCCCTCTGTGTTACAAACAAAAAAGAACAATTTAGAAGAAATACCTGGGCAAGGTGGCAGAAATAAACAAGAAATAAAAGAAAAAGAGACTAAAGTCATCTTGTTAACAGCTACTCAGCTTGATGACATCTTAACACTTTCAATCAACAATGGACTCTTGTAGAAGACAGTATTCAGAAAAGGGACAGATTATGTAACCAAAAATCACCCTCAATTCCACTATCCTTTCTAACACCTCTGTTTTGATCTCTTCAGAAATGAAAGTCTTTGAAGACCGGTTAAAAGATAAAGAAGGAAAGAAAAGTGGAACTAACAACTCCACAAAGTTAACAAAATCACAAGTTCTTCACCTTTTTTAAAGTTCATTTGTGGTTCATGTTATATTAACTTATGTAATACATTTTGTGTAACAAAAGCACTTAAGAACAGGTTCCTCCAATAGTTGTACATGAATGTTCATAACAGCACTATTCATAATAGTCAAAAGGTGGAAACCATCCAAATGTCCATCAACAGATTAAGTGGATAAACAAAATGTGGTCCATACATGCAATGGAACACTATTCAGCCATTAGAAGGAAAGACGTGCTGATACACACTACAACCTGGACGGGTCTCAAAAGCACCAAGTAAAAGAAGCCAGACACTAAAGGTTGCATATCATAGGATTCCTCTTATGTGAGTTATCCAGAACAGGTTAAATCCATAGAAACAAAAAGTAAACTGGTGGTTGCCAGTGGCTGGGCGAAAGGGAGAATGGGGAGTGACTGCTGAATGGGTACAGGGTTTTCTTTTTAATAACTTTTTTATTTTTGATACAATTTCTAAAGGTTACTTTCCATTTACAGTTATTACAAAATATTGGCTGTATTCCCCCAGCTGTGTAATACATCTTTGAGACTATCTTACACCCAACAGTTAGCACCTCCCACTCCCTCATCCTTGATTTGTCCCTCCCCCTTGGCAACCACTAGTTTGTCCTCTGTATCTGTGAGTCTGCCTTTTTGGTTTTACTCACTAGTTTGTTGTATAGGGTTTTCTTTTAGGGTGATGAAAATGTTCTAGAACGTCATATAAATGGTGGTTGCACAACCATGTGAATGTACTAAATGTCTCTGAATTGTACAGTCTAAAACGGTTAATTTTATGTATGTGAATCTCACCTCAATTAAAATGAAAACAGTTCGAAGGAGAAAATAAATCCATATAATATTTCTTAACAGCTTAATAAATATGCTATTCAGAACTAATTTTGGGAAAGGTTATGAAAGCTAATGGAGAAAAAAATATTCCAGAATAGAAGAGCCCACAGCCAGCCAATACGCAGGAACACCGATCAGTTAATAGTAACCATTCTTCCAGGGGAAGCAGCCCCGAGCTTTCTTACCCACAGACAGGAGGCGCCACGTGACGGCAGGTGTGGCGAAGCAGGCGAACACATCATCGGTGCAGGAGAAGTGGGTGAGGTGGGGAAGGGTCACTGACTGGCCCCGGCACTGGCCCCACATGTACACGTGCCCTCCCTGTGTCTTGGCGGCAGACATGTGGGCAGAGTGGCAGGCTGCAATCTCCACTACCCTGAAGAGTTTTAAGAAAATGCACATCACTTCTTTTTCACAGAAGCCCACGCACACCACATAAGGTCAGTAAAAAGTTCACGCTCAGAACACCTCAAAAAACAGCCCAAGATTGAGGGACATTAGCTGCCAACTCATACTGGAGCAAGAGAACAGTATTTCTCCTTTCTTGGCTGCCCCTCTTCTCACCCTAACCTCATTCTGAGTTAGGATGAATAATAAGGAAAACTTGGGAAAAAGGACTAGAAACCAAAGTAAATGAGGAACACGGACAGTGAAAAAATGTCCTGACAGTTCTGGGGGCTTAGAGAGCAGCAAAATAATACTGTCTCCAATATACCATTTCCTTAAATACCGCCTCTTCTGCCATCCCCAACCAGGGCTCAGAACTGGTCTAGGGGTCATGGACTCCGAACATCCCGATCCAAATGGACGTCAAGCCAAACCTACCACATCTCCAGGTATGCTTCCCAGGCAAGGCCCCGGAATCGGAAGTCAGCATTCTCAGACTTAGTGGGTGAGACCTCACAATCTGGCCGAACACCCAGTAAGCATCTATTCCACTAACACACATTAAATCAAATCAATATTTAAACAGATAATGCCCTTCTGGGGGCAGGTTTTATTTATTTGTAAGTTGTTTTAGTTGGCTCAAAGGAAAAGTCTGTACTACGCTCTGAATCTCAACCTGGTGACAGACCCTATTTTACTTCCCTACTAAACAGGCAGCAAGAAATATGTAGGAATATTAAGATGCATTAAAGCCTATCCTATCCTAGAAAGCCACATAAGAACCACCTCAACTTCATGTTCATTCAGACTGGTATTCACCCTCTTTTGTTCAAAATGAGAATGTTAACAAACAGAAGAGTTACAGAGCCACACACCACAGCTCCAGCACACACAGTCCCAAGTCCCAGTGCACACACAATCCCAAGACGTGGGACAGCCACGTTACCTTTCTTTCTCCACCATGATGTGTGCAGGGCTTAGCAGGTTATTTTTATTGCCAGTTCCCAGCTGCCCATACGTGTTAGCTCCCCAGGCATAGAGCAAGCCTTCATCGGTTAGTGCTAGGGTGTGTGCATAGCCGCAGACAATCTGCAAGGAAATTTACATGGCCACTGTAAGCAGGAGAACAGGAAGGGCGGGGAAAACATCTACTTAACGGTGACAGCCAGCTTCTGCAGAATGCCAATTCATCATCACGTGTGGACTGACATTCTCTGGAACATTAAAAAAGCGTTAGAAAAGCCTAAACCTGAAACTACTGCATTTTTCCAATAGCTCTTTTTACTTGTCAAGACCAGTGTGCTAGCACCATGGCCTTCCTTCTCATCACGGGAATTTAGGGAGGATATAATATTAAATTGGAAGATGAAGGCACAGGGTACTGTTCGAAAAGACTTCCTGAAGAGTAAATCTCCAATATTCCTGAAAGTCAGAGCAGGGAAGACAGACGGGGACCAGAGAGGCCACCACACATACCTGGTTCACACACACGCTGTGCAAAGCTGCCACTCTCACAGGGGTCAGCTGATTGCCATTGTTTCCCAAGCCAAGCTGCCCATTGCCGTTGTAACCCCAGCCATACACCTTAGAGAGAGAAAGGGGGAGAAGAGGCTTTTAAAACGGCTTGTGAGAGGGAAGAGATAAAAAGCACTCCATCTAAACTGATCAGTTACTTTTTTCACTGCCAATGCTCATACTCTGCTGCGTGTGATCCTACAGCTGATCTCCAAATAGAAGATGCTTTAGGGGTGGGGATGATAGAACCTGGCAGTTCCTACTCCAAAACTTACTAGTGGATAGCCTTGGGCAAGTCCCTAATTCTTGCTTTATACAGAGAAGTTGAAGCTCATTAACAATTACTGAGCACCTACTATATGTCAGGACATTGTGAAAGGTATGAGGAATAAGTCTTTGGAAACAATTCAACAGGGGAGGTGGACATACGCAATTTTGCAGCCGGGTGGCAAGAGCCATCATAGAGATATAATCAAGACACTATAGGCAGAGAGGAGAAAGGATTTAGCCATAGGAAGAAAGTTTCGGAAAAACTTTTCAGAGAGTAGAAATCTGAGCAGGACTAAATGGAGGTGAAGGCATTCCAGGCAGAGGGCGCAGAATGAAGCATCTCCGAGTGATTTTTGTGCAGACAGAGGTGGTAACAGATTCATTTAAGTAGAAGTTGCAACCAGAATAATTTTATACAAATAGCCATCAACTCAATGTAACCACGATAGAGGATCACTGAACGGTGGATTTTTTAAAGTAGCTAACAATAATCAGGACAAAAAAAATCTGCTTTTGCAAGTTGCTTCCTCCTGTGGACAAACATTCTAGGTGTGGGTAGGCACAAAGACTTCACGCCCATTGGTGGTCACTGACTGCTTATAAACATCATCAGCTGACTTTAAAGAGTGCACAGGTCATTTTCTCATTGGGAGAAAGCAGTAGTATCGAATTCTTTAAACTATTACATTAAATCACAAATACCTCTAAGCATTAGGCTATTTGGATCTAGCAAAAACATTCGAATCCTTACTTGCAGATGAATCTTGGAATTTAAAAATTCATACCGAGAAGCAAACATTTCCTGATTACGCCTCAGTCAGTAACCAGTTAACTACCCATGGAGCTGTCAAAGCAAAGTACTCCTCCCTCCATGACCTAATGCATGCACCCACGAGGAAAAGCAAATTTCACTGAAAGAGGAGGGGGGAGGAAAAAGAGGGATGCAGAGATTGCTCACCTCCCCATTGTCCAGAACAGCCATGGACGAGGTCTGACCACAGGCAATGCCAACCACCCTCTTAATATGTAAACAATTGGTAACTTTCCGAGGAGTTGGTTGATTTGCTGTGGATCCTGATCCCACCTGGCCACAGTTGTTATAGCCCCATGCAAATACCTGCACAACGGAAGAGGAAAAGAAAAGGGTGAACATTCTACCTCTAACAAACAATAATGATCATAAAATAAAATAAGCCTATTTAATAAGAATTTACAATGTGCTAAATGGCTCTAAGTGCTTTACATGCATTTATCTAATCCCCACAGTAATCCTGTAAGGTGACCCAAGGGTAGATACTATTATCAGCCTCATTTTATACATGGAAATGGAAACAGAGAGGTTAAGTGTCTTGCTTGAGGTTGCACACTAGTAAGCACAATTTACACCGAATGTGAACCCAAGCAGCCCACCGGTGCTCCTAACCACTAACTACACTGCCTCTCTAATGATGGCATCTATATATGTTCCTTTAATCTGGCATCAGTAGGAAACAAGGTATATGCCACATAAGTATAAGAGATATAGATAATCTGCCCAACTCTTTGGACACAAATAGTCTTTTTTTTCCCCCCTGGAAACCTTCAAAACCATACTATGCTTTTCCCTGTCTCACTAATCACCAATATGAGACATGACGTAACTTTCCTGATGACTCAGGACCATCACGATCATAATTATCAATCACAGTTTCAAGTCGTAACACAGAAATGCTCACAAGCACTAAGGAGACGCTTGTCCCTACAGGCAGGACACCCACTTGTCAGGCCCCTCTCGGCCACGTTTTCTCTGAGTTCTCATTTGCTGTTTGTCAGCTCCAAGCAGCTCCCCTCCACAGCTGCACCCTGCTTACTTCTGACCTGTGATCTGCATAACTGAAAGCCAGATTTCTAAGGGAGAGAGAGACAGAAATAGATCTCTAGGCTGTCAAAATCTAATAACCAAGATGACAAAATGCAAAGTCACTTCGAGTGAATTAGCAACTGAGCCTATCAAAGAAGAGGGACCAGAGAGAAGAGTCAGTAGAGGAGGTAAGATCCCCCAACGCTGGAATCGGTAAGGGCCCCTCCCAACCTCTCCACCAGCCTGCAAGAAGAGGTCCTCACATCCTGAGCTCTGGCTTCCACAATTCTCTCTCCTCTGTCAGTACTGTCTAAGTTCACATGTCTGAGAGTGCCCAAGGCTACAATGGTAAACCCAGGGCTGATGTCTTAAAAATATGTGCTACAGGTTCATTTCACAGGTACCAAAGTAAGAACCTGCAATATTCCCTGAAAGTGGATTCACAGGAACAGCCAGTGTAATAATGCAAACATTTACCTCAGTTATCCAGAGTAGCATATGTTTAAGGCTAAAGCACCAGGAATCCAGGCTGTACAAACTAGCGAGTTCTAATGTCAAGAATCATTCTTCTGCATTTCTTTTCAAATATCCCAAGTCCCCTTCCAATACAGCTGCCTTTTATTTAAAAAAAAACAACTGGGGTTCCACTAACCAAGAAACAGCCTAGGAACAGTGGATCCCGAGCACAGGCTTGGCTTCAGCACATCCCCCCATGCAACCCTGATCTCCCTGAGCTGCTTTGCTTCTTCATCCATCACC